GTCATATTGTATATAAATATCATGTCATTGTATATAGTATTATATATAAATATCATGTCATTATATATCATAATATTATACATACATATTTTATATAGATAGATATATTTATACATGTATCTAAACAGGACCCCACAGCTCTGGGACCCCACAGCCCCAGAACCCCAAAAACAGGGTTCCCACAGCCCCAGGACCCCCAAAACCAAGGAGGTTTAATTTAAAATACATAAAATATTCCCGCTGTTCCTGTATCCGGATTTTCCATTCTATTTATAAGTCCCAAACATTGCAGGCCGGGCCCCAGAGCCCTGGATTGGGATGTGGCCGGATTGGAACCAATTACTGTAACCTCGTTAGCGGCAGAACGAGCCTAATTAACACCCGGAATGATCCCCGGCTCTTTTGGAGGATAAACCGCAGGAGGTTGGAATTTGGAGCCTCCTGTTGATGTTTAATGGCTGGAAAAACAGGACCTGGGAGTTGAATCCCATCTCCCAACACCCAAATCCCATCTCCCAACACCCAAATCCCATCATCCAAATCCCATCTCCCATCCCCTCTTATTTCCCATCCCCCAAATCCCATCTCTCCTTACCCAAACCCCACATGCCACCCCTTCCACCTCCATCCAGTGCCAATTCCCATGGGACCCCCCAGCCCACTCCCATTCCGTTCCCGTTGCCGGCAGGGAGCTGGAGCTGCGCTTCGCCGTGTCCGAGGTGCCGGCCGTGGTGGTGCTGAAGCCCAGCGGGGACGTGCTGGTGGCCAACGCCGTGGAGGAGATCCAGAGGATGGGCCCCAAGTGCTTCCAGAACTGGCAGGAGGCCGCCGAGATCCTGGACCGGAATTTCCGCCTGGCCGAGGATTTCGACAACCACGCCCGGAGGAGCCTCACGCACCCCCTGCGCCGGCTCAAGTACAGGCTGGACAAGGACAAGGACAGGGACAGGGAGGAGGGGGAGGGAGAAGGGGAGGAAGACCCTTGAGCAGCTCCAAGAGCTCGTGGGATCGATGGGATGGCTCCCACATCCAGCTTCTCCCACCTGGAAAATCGCTGTAATTAAGATATTCCGACCCGGAGTGGGATGTGTTTCCTCATGTCATCCCGGAATCTGGCGCCGGAAAAACCTTGCCGGGGTATCTCAGGCATTTGTTTGCCAGAATTGGGATTAAAAGTAACGTTTTTGTTGTCTGTTTACCAAAAAAGGGGAGAAGAAAAGTAATTCCTAGAGACCAGGATTCAGGGAGTGACTGTAAACAGCTCAAAAACTGGGAATTGCATTAAAAATGCCCAAGGGAGGTGGTGAAGGGTCCTGGGGTCCCGATGTGATTCCAACCCCAAACGATGGGGCATCACCTTGGAACTGCTGCTCCTGCCTCCTGCTCTCCCTGGGGGATAATTCCCTTCCTTCCCGTGTGGATCAGGAGGAGCCACGGAGGGGCCCCCAGACCATCCCTGCTCCAAACTAAACACCCCCCACCACCCTGTTTTCCTCCTGGAGAGGCTGGAATAGCCACCAAGAGTGTCCAGGGATGTTATCCCACCCAAATCCATGCCCAGGGTGGTTACCAGGGGGAGGGAAGTGTTGGTTTCATCCCTTTCCAACGACATCCTCAGCTGGTTTTCCATCTCATCCCACGAGCGAAGGTGACGAGATCCCAGGTTCAGGTTTCCCTTCAGGCCCCAATTTAAGGTGTTTCCAACAATACTTGGAGTTAGAGTGTCCCAAACAGCAGAGCCTGGGGAAGGAGAAAGGGGGAGGGAGGAGTTTTCCAGGTCTTTCATGACTTTTTTTGGGATTCCAAACGGTTGTTAACTCGTTGGAGGAAAAGCAAAACCCTGCTGTGGGCTGGGATTCCTTCCCCATCCCTTTGTTTTAAGGGATTCTTTGATGGTCTGGGCTCCCACCAGCTCTGCTCCCGGAGCTGGCACTGATCCAGCAGCCGGGGGTGTGATGGAATTCCTGCATTTTTAAAGGTTCCTGGATGAGCTTCTCCCATCCCTGGGAGCTGGGGGGTTGTGGGACTGGGCTCCTCTGAGAGGGTTTGGGAATCTCTGAGCCAGCTGAGACTCGGGAACAATTCATTGGAGCAATTTTGGGGGGCTGCTGATGACATTGGGATGACATGACTCCTTCCAGGAGGTTTCTAAACATTCCTGGGATTCCAAAAAAGCAGCCAAAAAAACAACCCTTCAGATGGTCATGGGGGGGGGGAGCAGTGGCAGCCGAGAGGGTTAAAGGAAAATGTTGCCTTTAGGGCTTGTTTGGGAACAGCAAAATCCACTCAAACAATTAAAACCCCCCTCGGAAAGGAGAAGTGGAAGAAAGGGGAGGGGACAGATGTTTTCCTTGGAAGTGTTTCCCTGCCGAGGCTCTGCTGGGCACCAGGACGTGGCCGGGTTGGGATCAGGTTACTCCATGACCCGGCTCGGGGGGCACAACGCCAGGACACCCCGGGAGACCCTTTGGAATGGGGGAGGAACAGGAAAACTCCTGGAGGGATGGAGGGGACGGGGGGAGAAGAGGGGCTGGACTGGTGGCTGTCGGGGCTCCGCAGTCCTGTCCCTGTTCAGCATCCAGTGCTCCATCCCAGGGGGGTTGTTGTGGATCCCTGTCTCCATCCCTTTGTCCTGGGCTCTCCATAGCCTCACCCCTGTGGATCCCTGTCCTTGTGTCTGTCCCTGTCCCTGGGGATCCCTGTCTCCATCCCTTCGTCCCAGGCTCTCTGTAGCCTCCTCCCTGTGGATCCCTGTCCCTTGGATCCCTGTCCCAGTGTCCATCCCTTTGTCCCGGGCTGTCCCCATCTCCCAGGGCAGGTCCTGCTCTCCCGGTGTCCCTGGCAGCAGGTCAGGGCTGTTCCTGACAATAACATCGTTCCCAGGGAAGCAGACAAGGGAGGAGGATCCTGACCTGATGGTCCAGTTGGGATGTGAGGGGCTGAATCCTCATGGTCCAGCTGGAATGTGGGGCTGGATCTGACCCTCTGGTCCACTCAGAAGGAGGGGGTCTGGATTCTGACCCCATGCTCCAGTTGGAATGGGGGGGGGTTGGATCCTGACTTAATGACCCACTGGAAATGAGGGGGTGGGGGGGCTGGATCCTGACTGATGGTCCAGTTGGGATATGGGGGCTGGATCCTGATCCAAAGATCCACCCGGGATGTGGGGGGCTGGATCCCGACCCGACGTGTCCCCCGTGCCCGGGTGCTCCGGTCCCTCCCCCGGGA